CCGCCGGCTGCGTGCTGTGGCAGTGGCTTCCTCCAGCCAGTAGTTCTGTAACGGCTCGGCGTGGGTTCGACTGCACCGGTGCCGAGTGCGTGCAAAGCCAGCCTGTTAATAGCGTGTCTTTGGGGCTGTTCTCGCCTGGCATTTCGTGCTGTCCCCCAGAGGGGCATCACAAGTGCATCGGCAACGTCCTGCCTTGGTTTCCTCCCCTTGCTGGTGGCAGCAGCAGCCTCCAGCGCGTGCTCTGCTTGCCTCTGGGCTGGTGTCCGCTCGTCTTCTGGCTGCTAGGAGGGGCAGGCTGTAAAGTCACAGCTTCAGAGCCTGCCTTTCCCTGGGAGGTGAATACTGGTGGAGCTGGGTGCTGCTGGGCCCCCCCAGCGGGGGCGAGAGCTGCGTGCTGCAGGCTTGGAGTGCTTATCCCTGTGAGCCGTAGCGGGTCCGCCTGAAACGTTTGCCGAGGCAGGTCAGTGCCAGCTGTGCCGCAGCCTGCCAGGAGCCTGGTGACAGCTGTTCCTCAGCCTGCCAGGAGCCTGCCAAGCCCGTGGGAACAGGGCTTGCAGAGGGGACGCAGACCGGCCGCTGTGTGACTCTGGTTTAGCGTTGTCCGTGTCGAGGTCAAGCGTTCTTCCCAAAGTCGGGCGGGGAGAGGTGCCTGTCCCAGCGCGGGGAGGCGGCTCAGCACCAGGCCGGGAAAAACACCCCGGGTTTTCAAACACAGAACCGTGGGTCTCGCAGACTGGCGGTGTGACAGAGATCTCGGTCCTGTGGTTGACTCTGTTGCTGTCTGCCCTCCCTGCATTTCGCCATCTGCTTGAGAACAGCAGACAGAAACACCCGAGGGAGCGGAGACGTCTGTTGACGCTCCCGCAGGAAGGCCACGCTGCGGAATGCAGCCGGGCGGGCTGGGGGCAGCTGGCTGCAGCAGGGCCACGGGATGGTCTCGGTGCTGGCCTCTGCCAGCTGCAGAGCGCTGGCCTCGCAGGGAGCGCTGTCGGGGCCCTCCAGCTGCCTGCCCTGGCTTTCCCGCCGCATGGGCTGCGCTGTAGCCGTGCACGTGGAGCCAGCACACAGTGCGTGCTCCTGTTACTTCTGCTCCCTCCCTTTCTCCCTCCTTGTGGGAGGTTCTGTTGCAAGGGAAGGGACGAGGGGCCGCAGAGCAGGCACCAAAGAGGGGATCTGAGGAGCAAGAGCGAAGCCCTTGCCACACGCGCATCTAATAAGCGGCTAAAACCATAGCAGGCGCCAGCAGCAGCCTCTGCGCACAGATCTGGGCCGGGACGTGAGCCCGCACCGCTGTCCCCTCCGTAGCACGGCCGGCTGTCAGGGCTCGAGGGCC